AAAAAAGGACTGCTTAAAAAATAAATTAATTATTTAAATCCTTCCACTTATAAATTTACAAACAATTGGTAGATAATATCACGAGGCGATCCATAGGACCGGCCGGTTGTGATTTTTTTTGTAACCATTTTAATTATTTTAATAAACTGTTTCTGAAATTTGCTACACATTGAGGAGTTTTCTCTTTTTATGATTGTGTGGACACTTCACACTCTGGAGACCGTGGATAAAGTGTCTTTTTATCGAGGACGCCACAACACTGTGTCAGACCAGACAATACGTTTTGGGCTGTTTGCTGCAGCCAATATATTCTGGTGAGTACGCACTCTGAAGGGGGTGGACGTGTGGACACGAATAAGATCTCCAGCAAGCTTAATTTACCATCTGAGCATTCAGAGGCTTCATTTATTGCACTTCAGCAGACTAATTTGCACAGAGACTTATTTTGCACAGAGATTTTCTAAATATGGATTGATCACTATGCTATCACTTATTTGGAAGGATTTATTCATCCTATTGTATATATTTGTTTATTTAGAGTTATATCTTATTTAGAGTGATATTATCTTCCAATTGTTTGTAAATTTATAAGTAGAAGGATTTTATTTATTTATTTTTTAATTAATTTATATAATTTTTCACATACTATATTGATATTGCACAGAATAATCATTGTTTATGTACACTACATTTATTGTCATAGAGGCTTCTGTCTCATATTTTTGATCAGTTGATTCACTTTGCACATTTGTATTTAGGCCACCACCTATTTCACTACAGTGATCCATTCACTTCATGTAGTTGCAAAGGTGGATTTATTTTGAGGTCAGCACGTGTAGACCATTCATTTGTTTATATATTGAACTACTAGCAATGTATATCCAGTTAAATAATTTATTGGACCTAGTGTCTTTAGTGCAGCAGCTTCTAATGTAATATTACAATTTAATATAAATACATTGAGAACACCCATTAAGCGCAGATTTAAAATTGACAAAGCAAAACAATAGAGAAAAAAGGTATCAGAGAGGGTTATTGCCCAAGAGCTAAAACTCAAACTTGTTGACACAAATAGTAGTTCTAAAAATGACTTTGATTTAAGTTAAAGTGACACTAAGCTCTGGGGTTAAATCTCAATAGGGTACTTGAATGCATTTTTAACAAAAACGTAGCTTCTTTGTGCATCACTGTACATCCTCAAATCATCTCTGAATTCATGTTGACACTGCCCTTCCTTCTGGAGGGTAACTATGTTTGTTCCCCATGGTCCGTGTGTGTGTTGTAGACAAGTAAGCTGCGGAAAAATTTGGTTCGGATATTTCGGAATTCAGGACTCAGATCTGAAATTCAATTTGGTTTGGGTTTCGGATTCGGACGAAATCCGAATTTACGTTAGTTTTGGATAAGTTTACGAATATTCGTTGAGAATACCACAGAAAACCATGTATGGATATTAATACTAAAGCTGAATCTCCTAGACCTGAATGGCATTCGGGATCTGAATTGCATTCAGATCCCAGATCCCTCAGCTTTAGTAATATATGTATATGGCTCCCAGACCCGAATGGCATTCGGGAGCTTCCGAATGCAATCCGGAAATTCGGATCCCAAATGCCATTCGGGTCTGGGAGCCATATACATATATTACTAAAACTGAGGCTGCCAGACCCAAATGGCATTCGGGAGCTCCGGAATGCAATTCGGAAATTCAGATCCCGAATGCCATTCGGGTCTCGGAGCCTCAGCTTTAGTATCGCATGTATATACTGAAGACGAATTTTCATTACGTCAACATGGGAGCCATATAATCTCTACAACTACAATCTCAATACAAATTAGTAAACTAAATGTGAAATTTATAGTCCATTCATCCAGTCCATTTTTGAGCCGCACCTTTTGAGCCACCAAAACCCAAAAAGGGTGGGGCATTTAGGGAAAGAATTACTTGTGATGGGTATCTTTCCAAAATATTATAGCTCATGCTTCAGAGACTATCACTTGAAGAATACATCGACTTGCAGTGTTGTGTTAATTTCTGTCAAATCTTAGCAACTTATTTTATATGTATTCCATATGTGTTTACTGCTCAGCATTTGCCGTAAATTCTAATTTATGGACAAACAACAGCCATATTGCATATTTTGGGCAATTGTGCCATGTCAATAATGAGCATAATTTAATATTTAATCAGGAAAGGAAAAAAAAATATATTTTTTTGTATATACTGTACATGTGTATTTAATCAGCTTGATTTAGATAATCTGATGTTGATGTTTTGCTTATGTATTAATGTATTATGTACTCTGTGTAATTTGCATATGCAGAATTTGTGGAGCTTAGCCTTTTCATGGTTAACTACCAGTAGGTTTCTTCAGGATTTATACAGTTCTTTATGCAAAAGAAGGGGTCACAAAACCTTGCATCATTAATAACTCAAATTAGTCAATAAAGGGTATCAAGTGACCACCTAAAAGAGAACTACGGTGTAACCTTTTTTTGCCATACTTCTCTTTAGGGTAGGGAGGACATCTATTAACATCCTCCTGTGACCCAAAGCTCAGTAGATAGTGGGCTATTGCCTGCTATATACTGAGAGCGCCGCAGCCAGGATGGATCCCGACAATATTCTGGAAAACCACCCAGCTGGCTAATTAACAGCGAGCTCTGCCTATCTACATGCAGAGCCGGCTGTGCCCGCCCCCTCCCCCATACATTCCTCCAGTCAGCACTGGAGAATTGGGGAGGGATGTCTGTGGGGAGCGGTGACTTAGTCACTACTCTCTGTAGGGAGATGATTGGGAAGTGAGCGATCGGCGGTATTTGTTCGCTGTCTTCCCAATTAATAGAGCCGACCTGTGACAGCTTCATTCAATTATGAATTATGATCAAAAGAAACAAAGCGCTAAAGGTAGCTGTATGAGCAAAGGAATAAGCTATAATTGATTCTGGCAAGGTCAGTAACCTTTTATATGAGCCATGGTATGTGTTCGCTCACTTCCCGATCTATAGAGTCGACGTTTGACATTTACTGGCTGACGAAATGACAGCCGAGGATTGCTATAACTCCTGCCAGGAGTGGGTAAAAAAAACAGCCACTCCTGTCTAAATTGACATTTGCAGATAGTATTGTTACGTTGTGTAACAGACTTACCCGTCCTCGGTCCAGCGCTGCTTGGCGGGGCCGAGCACGGCCAGCTCAGCAGCCAGCTCCTCCCCTTCAGGGCCGTCCAGCTTGGCAGTTAGCTCCTCCCCTTCAGGGCCGTCCAGCTCGGCAGTTAGCTCCTCCCCTTCAGGGCCGTCCAGGACGGCAATCAGCTCCGCCCCTCATGTCCGTCATGTACGGGACCCAGCTCCTCCCCTCCGCGCTCGGCGAGGAGGGATTATGTGAAAAGTGTTAAAAAAAAAATGTGTAAAAAATAAAATAAGGGACAAATAAATGCATGTATTTATTGCATTTCTTTTAGCTGTGCTGGTTTTGTAAAAAAAATACTACAAATCAAAACTGGAAAAAAAAGTGTTTTTTTTAACGCTTTTTTTCCTCTTTTTTTATATTTTATTTGTCCTAAGTTAAGCGTTAGACACACATATGTGATATAAATATGTAGCCCTATCTGTCCTCTAAAAAACAATATATAATATGTGTGGGTGCACTTTGTAAGAAAGTATATTACTGACATGGAAGAATCACACAGAAAAAATGTCAAAAGTGTGTCAGTCATTTACGAACAGAAACTAAAAACAAGCTCAGTCATGAAGGGGTTAAACACTAAATGGAGTGTGAAGGAAGGAATCATAACTGAACCCTTTAATTACACCAGTAACTCCGCAGTTGAGCGTCCTCACGGGTCATTACACGTTGTAGTTAAAGAAAAAAATATTACTAACTCATGCAGTGGGGTCTACCCCCACACTGCATGGGTTTAGTGCTCTTTATCATCAAGGGAGTAAAAGTTATACATACCCGAACCTCACAGTGAGCCATAATTACTAACTTTTTTTAACCATTTTTCCTCATCATCCATTATAGGACACAGGACACAGTTATTCAATATGATTGGGTTATACTGCCGCCTACAGGAGGATTTGGACACTTGTAAACAAAAAGTCATTGCCCA